GCTGCTGCTGGCAGCGCAGCGAGACGGGGTGGGGGTGATCCCCTCTGCAGGCTTAGGAGCTCGATGTATTAAAAAAAAAAAATTAAATGTGTATTTCTGGAGCTATATATATAGCTTCAAGACACAATCTGTCTCAGCGGGGCATGACAGCACAGCCCCAGCCGAGCCGCCAGTGTCGCTGCTGTCACCGCGCCTTAGAGCTCGTGCCGCGGCTGGGGAGCAAGGTGCCATTTCCGTCCTGTGCCGGCGGTGCCGAAACCTGCTCCTCTCACGGTTGTGCCAAAAAACTTTAGGTTTGGAGTTTCCTTTCCTACCCCTTCGGCGGCTCCTGGGCTGTTTTGACGGTGGTTCTGCCACCAGAGAACCCTGCAGGACACCGTGCCGGCCGATCCCGGCACCGGGATGACCCTCACGTGGAGGGGGCGGGGGGGGGCACGTGCTCCAGCACATGACTCTCAGCAACACCCTGGTCCCCAAAATTTTAAGGGGACCCCCTGTTGCACAATGTGGCTTTGTAAAGGCACGATCCCAGCTGTACCTGCCCGGTGCTGCCTGTTGCTCCGATTGCTCCTACGGGGGATTTACCTGGGTGAGCACCCCCAGCTCCCGGGCTGTGGGTTGTCCTGTACAGGAACAACTTTTTTGGTGAAAATTTTCATCCAAAAGTCAGTGTCTGTCCACAGGGAAAAAACCCCACCAAAATCAACCCTAAAAAAACCCAACCCAACACCAGAAGCTCGAGCCAGACCAAGCTTGCATTTGAATGGAAATTTTTTTTTTTTTTTTCTTTCAGGCTGGTTTTATCCCCCACACCTTCCGCCAGGCTCCTCATTTGCCAAGCAGCTTAATTACATGTTAGTGAAAGCCTTTTCTCCGAGTGGCTCTAATTGCAGGCTTGGGTAATTGGTCTCATTTTCACAGTGTGTTTGGAGCTGGGGAATGCTCCCCCCTGGCAGGTGTGACCCTCCCCCATCTCCCTCCCTCACCATTTTAGCCAATTCTCCTGGTTTTCACCCAAACCCCCCCCACAGCTCCAGGGGAGGCACAGCACCTGGCCAGCACAGGGGCCTGACTCAGCTCCCCCTGAGTCACAGCCCCACTGGGGATTCCCCCCCTCATTCCCAAACCTTTCAGCTCCTGCCACAGGGGCTACCATGCCAGGGAAAGGCTTCCTGAGGATGCCAGTAGGGAATTTCAGACCAGCCAGGAGCAGTTGCATCATCCCTCTCCAGCCCAGAGCAACAACAGGGAGAGGGCAGGGTTATCAATGAAGACAATTTTTATTAGAAAAGTAAAAAAACAAAACCAAAAAACCCCCAGGGAAAGGCTTCCTGAGGATGCCAGTAGGGAATTTCAGACCAGCCAGGAGCAGTTGCATCATCCCTCTCCAGCCCAGAGCAACAACAGGGAGAGGGCAGGGTTATCAATGAAGACAATTTTTATTAGAAAAGTAAAAAAACAAAACCAAAAAACCCCACCCACCCCCCCACAATTGCATAGGAAGTCTTCTTGCACTTGAACATCAAGTGTACGAGTGTAAACTGTAACCAACGAAGCGTCCCCGGCTTGTCACAGCAAGGGGTCCTGCCCTCTGTCCCCGCCTCGCCCGTCCCTCTCCCACCAACTCTCTCCTCTCCCGATCAAAGATGCGACGCGATTCCGGCCCCTGCCTCACCGGAAGCCAGGGCAGAGCCACCCGGCTGCCAGCGGAGGGGTTTTGCCTTTGATCCAGACCTACAGCCCAGCCCTTCTCTCGCTCCCACCCTCCCCCAGAAACCCCATTGATTACAATCCTGGTTACAAAAAAAAAAAAGATACCCCACAATTAATCAGCCAACAGGCGGAGACATCCGCCCCCCAGCAGCCCCGCTGCCTCCATCATCCCACCATCGCCAACAGTGTGAAGCGACCTCCACCCGGGTCCCGGTCTGCTCCTCATCAGGGAAACCCCGGCACAGGCAGGGACCTCTGCCTGCCTGCACTGCTTCCACCTACAGCCCTACTCCAGCACTACAGCGGCTGCCGGGAGCCGCCACGCTCTAACCGGCTCTTTCCAAAGCACTTGGGTTAAGTCGCTTCTCCAGCGCGGAGGCATCAGCACTCCTCTATGAGGAGCTGCTCGGAGCTGTACAGCTTCTTCTTGATGACCCTGAAGCCCGTGCTCAGCTTCAGGGGTGCGAAAGCCGGCCCCGAGGCAAAGAGTCCCTGGATCTTGGGCCAGAGGCGGGAGTCCAGCCGGAGCACCAGGGTGAGCTGGAAGGTGGGCACCACGGCGGGGTCCACAGCGATGTGCCCCACGTCGTGGCAGGCCTTGCCGTGCTCCACGCAGAGGTCGAGGAGGGCCCCGCGCAGCCCGCAGGGCTCGCTGCAGGCCAGGCGCAGCAGCTCCGTCCTCACCTGCGCCAGGAGCTGGGCCGGCATCAGGAGCCGGGAGCAGCGCTTGGCCCCCAGGGGGGCTCTGCCCAGCGTGGCCTGCACCACGTCCATCAGGTTGGCGCACAGCAGCTCGTCCTCGGGATCGTGCAGCAGGTCCAGGTCGGGCAGGGAGGCCCCCTCGGCGTCCTCGGCATCTGCGGGAGGGACGGGAGGTCAGTCAGCACCGGGCAGGGCTCCCACGGTCACGGGGGGGGAGGGGACACACGGGGATTGGGGGTGTAAGCGGGGCACAGGGGCTCGGCAGGGCCCCCACCCCCCTCAGGGGCCCTCAGAGGGACCCCGGCCCCCCCGG